GACGATGGACGAGTTTATTGATGTCCTGCGACGATTCTTTATGCTGCTACACAGGCACAACATTAAGCTCAACGCGAAGAAGAGCGTCATTTTCAAGCGTGAGGTGACATGGTGTGGTCGCGTTATCTCTGGCGATGGTGTTCGTCATGATCCGCGCCGTATCAGTGCATAGACGGAGCTTCCACTGCCATCGACAGCCGCCGAGCTGCAATACTTCGTCTGTGCATCCAATTGGCTTCGTGATTCTATCGTGGATTTTGCGCGTATATTCTCTCCCTTTCTGGCTAAACTCGATGCCGAGAAGAAGAAGGTCGGTCGGCGCAACCGTAACGCACTCAATGTTAATATCCAATGGACGGAGCTTGAGTGCGCGGCCTTCAGTGCAGCTGTTGCTGCCATCAAGCCCACGGCCATGATGACTTTTCCAGTAGAAGGAGATGACCTGTGTATGTTCACGGACGCAAGCCTGAATGGATACAGCATTGTCGTGACAGCAGTCCGTAATTGGGACGGCTCCCGACCAGCCGATGAACAAGATCACTCGCTGGTTATATGTAAAGGTGGTGTTTTTCGCGACGCTCAACTTCATTGGCCTATAATCGAGAAGGAGGCGTTCCCGATAATCAAGGCCTGCTCAGATCTGGAATACCTTCTGCTGCGTCAGAAAGGATTTAGGCTCTGTTGTGACCATGCCAATCTCATCTACCTATTCTCGCCTACAATGGATGTCAAGCAACATGTCCACGATCGTCTGCAGCGCTGGTCGCTGCGTCTCCTCGGGTTACGATACACTATCGAGCATATTTCAGGGGAGCGTAACTTGTGGGCCGATATCATCTCTAGGTGGCTACCACGTGAGATGGTTCATGTCCGTGCTGTCCAAACCCGTCGCCAGACTCCATCAGTCGTTTCCAACTTATCCCGCCTAAGGCCGCTGGCGGACGCTGAGTTTGTATACCCAGGGTCTTCGGACATTATAGACGCACAGGCATCAGCTTCTCGGTTTCTACTTCGCTGCCGGTCGTGGAGGAGGGAGAAGTGTTGGCTGTGGACCACAAACCATGGATTCCGACAAGCGCTAAGGATCTACTATCTCGCATTATGGTAGTGGCACACTGTGGTGCACAGGGTCACAGAGGTGAAGCTGCTATGGTGGCGCTACTCGCCGACAGATTCTTCGTGGTGAATCTCAGCAAGAAGGTGTCTCAATTTGTCAGATCGTGTCTAATATGCAAGCACGTCAAGGGCCCCCGACAGATCCAGAGACCCTATGGCCCTACTTTCACAGCAAGGACAAGGAATCAAGCACTTCACCTACCTTGGTGACACCTTCGACGAAGTGAAGTATGTGTTGGTGCTCAAGGCCTCTTTGACACACTTTTGTGAACTGTTTCCATGTTCCAGCCCGACGGCGTATGTGGCCGCAGAGGCTCTTATCGATTGGTACAAGAGGTATGGATGCCCAACCATTTTGATTTCTGACCAAGGAGTTCACTTGCGGAACCAGACTGTGGATAACTTCTGTGCACGGCTCAAGATTGAGCGTTCATTTCTCGCCTGTATACTCGCCGTGGCTCAATGGCACCGTAGAACGCATCAACAGAGACCTGCTACAGGTACTGCGCGCGCTACTCATTGACTACGGGCTCGATTTTCACGAGTGGACCTATTTGTTGCCTGTGGTTCAGGCGAATCTCAACCACACACCGATGCGTTCGTTAGCTGGTCATTCTCCCACTGAGCTTTTTACAGGACTGCAGTCACCATCTGCCCTCGATATGGTCGTTCGTCCGGCCCAGAATGGCGAAGAAATTCTGATTGTGGATCTCGAGGACGTGGAACCTCAACTGGCCAAGCTGCGGCTGTCGCTGGAGGGATTACACAAAGAAGTCGTGGACATTAAGGAGCGCAAGCGGTTGGCGGACATGCAGGAGAAAACTGGCGTGGTGTGCAATTTCGATGTTGGAGATTATGTTCTGTGGTCCAAAATCGATCAGCGACTACCCAGCAACAAGCTACTTGGCCAGTGGCTGGGTCCATTTCGCATTACGAAGGCACTTCCGCACGCGTTCAAGGTGGAGCATCTGGTGAGTGGTAAAGGGTACGAAGTACACGGCTCCCGTCTGAAGTATTACGCTGATGCTGACCTTAACATGGACGTAGAGATGATGGAGTTGGTCACGTCGCAAGGTATCGTGCTGGATGTGGCAGCTTTCAAAGATCATCGCTACAACAAAGAACTACAGCGCTGGGAGCTGTTGGTGAAATGGGCTGGCCTACAGCCTATCGAGAATAGCTGGGAGAGCTTTAACACGATGCACAAGGACGTGTCACAAGCAGTGGTCGACTATGTTGAGTCGGCTGGAGACGACCTACTGCATACTCAACTACAGTAGCTACAAGCGAGACGCGCGAGCTGCAGCTTTGTGCGGCTGTGTGGTGCTGCCGACGTTCTGTCAAGCTGAAGCTCGCTGAAGGTGACAGCGTGCTGTCACCTCACTTCTTCAAGAGCACATGCATTCACTCCACTCGAGCATCATCAGCTGATGCTCCGGCGCCAACCGCCATGGTCGCCACTACATGTTGTGTATGAAGACGGCAAGAACTTCAAGCCTGCGTGCCATGGACACGCAAGTTGCTGATGCTCAAGGAAGGAGCGAGCATCACCATGAACATCATCGGTGGTCCTGCTACAAAGGACCGCAGTGGACGACTAAGGAGTCTCCTAGGAGACCAGCAGTAAGTTCTAACTTTAGTATATCTCACTTTCTAATTCACCTTCCCGAGCTTAAGTCCCCGGTCTCGTGATAGTGCTCTGTTTCCATGCACTCAGCGCTTATCCATCTTCAAGCGCATTCGAGGGTGCTAGCTTCGCAACACGCCATGGAGCTGCACACAAGTAAGCAATAGCGGATCGTATGCTCCGCGTAGGGTCCATGGCATCGTCTTGACCTTATCGATGTCAAAAGGCTTCGTTCTTTCCAGCACCTCGTTATCTGCTGTGGCGTCGACATTAAAACCCCTTTCTTCCCAGGACATCCGCTTCTGCATGGTAAACGTTGGTGTTGTCGCACTGCCCTTACCTGATGTGCTCCACATGGTCAGCCACGTCGCTTCAAAACGAGTGCTGGTTTGCTGGTTACAGCCTAGCCATATCTTGTTTGAGCACTTCCGGCGCGGCACAAAGACTCTACTTTCTATTGTTCTGCAACAACACTTTGATGTGCTGACAGACGTGAAAGTAGCCTGAAACCTCTTTTGAAACTGATTCCAATACAAAACACGGTTTTCAAACCGACGCAGTGCAAATCATTATTAAAGCACCGTCGTAGCATACTAGAGCCCGTGCAGCACCATATAGTGGCACTCAACAGTGCAATCAAGGTGCAGTGTAATCTGACTGGCACCGTAAGCTTGTGATACCAAAGTTGCAAATAAATCCGTACCCTTTGAGCATATTATCGATATCAATCGAGTGGTTGACACGCTGCATTTAGCCAATCAAAGATTGACTATTTGCAGAGAAACAACTTCGTTGCCAATGGCCGGTAATGAACCTGTATTGCAGCCAGCTATGATACCGTATTCCTTTAGCCCTACTTTCTCTTTCGGTCTGGGGGGTACGAGATCAATTATGACTGGCCAGCGACTTATTTCCCAACGAGCAGCTCATCTCTACCCTTGGAGGCTAAAGGGTGGATAACATTCCGAAATAGACACTGAATGCAAACGCCGCAACAATGTTACTACTGGTGACGGTGTGTGCAGGGGCGATTGCCGCAGCCACGGACCGGCTTTGGGAGGACAGTACAAATAAGCTACTGTAACAACTTAATTTTAACGCGCTTACTGGTATCTGCGTGCTTCGATGCTTGGTTTCGAATTTGTGCTGTTCTCATTGCCTCTCTAGATGTTTGCTAGGCCTGGACCAGCTGCTGCAGCACTTGATCTGGTGGTAGTTAAGGGGCGGTGGACGCAAAATTTGGTTGGCGCAATATATGTAGGTTAATTAAGAAGGTGCGTGGTGTTTGCATTTCGTTGCCACCAACAAATTTTCAATTGACTGACAAAGAAGACAGGCAATTTAAAATTTAAATTAAACCAATTCTGAAAGGATGTACAAATACGCAACAAATTTATATTAGCCCCAGCAATCAAGGAAGTATGTCAGGAATTTGCTAACTTCGCTATTCCCAAACCACATCTCGACGGAAAGATCATGGCCTTGTGTGATTGGCGACACTCAAAAAATCCATGAGCCAGTCAAAGTAGTCTAAAACTTCATTTATGTGCTTGGCGACATCCCCAGTGCGAGCAGATAGGCATTCGGCGATATTGTGATTCGGCGATTATGCCACAGTACAAGAGGCACCCACGAACCAGTGGAATCGGACGCCAAAAACCTAAGCACAACCGTAGTGGCTTCACTAACCGACACAAGCATAGGTAGCAGACCATTCTATCAGCGGTGGGAGGATGAAGTAGATGATGCCAGCTATGTACCCGTTTCTTGGCGACAACGCCAAGGACCAACATCGTAAAGTGGCCTACAAATGGCGTAATACGTTTTTTTTGTATTTGTAGGAGCACTTTCAATCAACAGCTGTGACAGGCGTGGTGTATGATAGGGTGCCTGGTATCGTAGAACACAAGCTCCCCCAAGACACCGAAGTGGCCGTTATACAGTGAATAAACTTGTTTAGAAAGAAAGGCGTGTCTATCAGCTACGTAGGCTAAAACAGATCAGCCTCTAGCCCCCTCCCCCTCTCTGATACCGACATCCACATTACAGTGTATTCTCTGCCTCTTTTTTTTGCCTTTATCACCAATACTTAGATAACGTGGGGGGGGCGAACAAGATTCTCCACGAGACGTTCGACTCTTCGAGCAGCAGTGTTGTCACAGCCCGCCTTTACCGCCTTTTCAAAAGGCGCCTAAACCGGTTTAGGCGGAGGGTTTAGGCGATACGGCGGCCGCTTCGCCTTATCGTTTAGGCTCCTTTTCACAATAACTTTGCTTTTGTATAGTATACATTGCAGCTGGCAAGCTAAAACTGAGCCCTTCACAATAGCTCCCGCTCCTATTTAAAAGTTCGCATACAAGAACGCGTTACTACCCTCGCGTTCAGTCGTCGCTTCCCCGACGATCACCACCGCTAGGCTTCCCCGACACCCACATAGACCACGTCCGTGCTGGTGTACGTGCTCCTGCCGCCCGAAGTCGCTACAGCGTCCGTATTCTCGTACGCAATCTCGGCATCCACTTTGAATAACGTTGCCCCAGTCTTGCCCGATCCGCCGCAGCGTCCGCATTCTCGTAGGTGTTCTGGTCGGCGTCCGTGTTGGTTCTACGTGCTCCAGTCTTGTCCGAAGCCGCCGCAGCGTCCGCATTCTCGTACGCGTTCTGTTCGTCGGTTGCGTTGACTGTACGTGCTCCAGTCTTGCCCGAAGCCGCTGCAGCGTCCGTATTCTCGTACGTGTACTGGTCGGCGTCTGTGTTGGTTGTACGTCCTTCCGTCTGGCTAGAAGCCGCTGCATCAATCGCATTCTTGAGCGCGGTCTCGACGGCGTCCGTGTTGAATAACGTTTCTGCTGCCACTGTCCGAAGCAGCTGCTGCGTCCGCATTCTCGTACGTGCTCTCATCGGCGTCCGTGTTGGTCTACTTGTTTGAATCCGTTGGAGTGGCCGTCAATCGGCGTTTGTGGCTAGCAAGCTATCAGGTGGTAATTGGAGCAGAACATGGTGCGACCCCATGTATCAGAGCGAGACCACTTTACGCTGATGAAGGACGTTCCGAAAAGCAAAGCGAAGTATTCGTACTACACGTGTAAGCATTGCACGCTGGCTTACAACAAGGATCCCGACCTTGACCCACCTGAGCTACTCCTAGGACGCTCGTATAGCTACGTTGGACATTTGCGCAAATGTGAAGCATATCGGGCCGTCATGGAGAACTGTCGAGGGCAGTCAAGCGACGGTGGTAGCTCGAGCATGGGATCACCTCGCCGGCAAAAGCGTTCTGCAAACAAGCGTCTTCTTTTTTCGAATGAATCTCCTAAGCGCAACGCCTCGAAACGAGCGTCCCCGAGGGCAAAATCCCACCGAAGATTTTCAAAGCAACAGAAGCAAGAAACGGAAAGACTAGTGGTTGAGTTCCAGGTCGGAAATTTTTTACCCGATTTGTTCATCGAGCGGTCATGTACGAAAGCACTGTTGAAATACTTGTGCCCTGGAATAACGGCCTACATACCAGGAAGGCGGACGCTTGGCGGACGCATTACCGGGAGTCATGCTGGGCATTGCCGCTCCATCCAAACACAAAAGCTGAAGCAGATACAAATTAGCTCGGGGGGATTTGTCAACTTTTTGTCGGACGTGTTTCAGAACATTTCTCGTGAGCATGTATTTTGTTGTCAGCTGCTACTGTTTGGACATAGTCTTGCGTATGCATTGCCCAAGGCGGGCGCTCGGCACGACGGTGTGGCCATGGCTCAAGAGATGGAGATTATTCTGAAGCAGGCGCAAAATGAAGGGGGGAACATTGGTGCAGTAATCACCGATAACGCCGGTCAATGTGGGAGCGCTCGGCGCATCTTGGCTTTACGATGGCCTAACGTTACGTTTCTTTTCTGCTTTGCACATTGCATCAACAACATTGTCAAAGCAGTGTTAAAGTCATCTTTTTCTGGGATTGCCAAGGAGGCAACGGCAGCCGTTAAGTGCCTCAATGCGTCATCAGCTAAGTGGCTTGTCCGAGCTAGAGCCATGATGGAGGAATGCTACGACAAGCCGCTAGCGTTGTTTACACTTTGTGAGACACGATGGAATAGTATGCAGAGCTGTTTTGCCTCATTATTGAGAGCTCGTACTGCGCTGGAGATGCTAAGCAGCAAGTACCGTGGCTATAAATATTACCCTAGCTCGCTGAAGGTGTTCAACGATCCATCATTCTGGAGCAAGCTGACAGAGACGGAACAGGTTATTGCGCCATTATCGGAGTCATCATATCGGCTCCAACGCGACGAGAACACATTGGCAGATGTCGTTTTATCATTTCGTGATATTTTTGTGGGTTTCGACAACTTCTTTTTGGATTACCGAAGTGGACTAATTCAATGCGTAGAATCACGCTGGGAACAATGTGAACAGCCACTGTTCATGTTGACCTTTCTATTGAACCCGATGACGGCCGACGAAGAAAAAAAACTTGTGGAAAGAACCGACGACAGAAAGCGTGTCGTGGAGATGGAGGAACGCCTTATTGGTAGAGATATGCTAGACGAGAGCACTGAACAAGAGCATCGACAACAGTTTCAAGATAGCAAAAAAACAGCCAGAATCGCATCTTCGACACAGCTCGCAAAATTTGCTGTCTATTACTACCGTCGTCTAATTGGTGATGACTACGACTTTATTCGCAGTGATATGATTGAGTGGATAGATAATTCGCTGTCTTCCGCGCACCCGAGAGAGTTTCGATTTAACAAGGTTAAGTATTGGCAGCACGTTAAAAAGGAAAACCCAACAAGTGTTTTACCTGACCTGGCAATTAGAGTACTCTCGATCGCAGTAAATACTGCAACTACGGATAGGTTATCCAGCGAGATTGGGATGATTCATACTCCAAGACGCAATAAGATGAAACCATCGAAAGCTCTAGACACACAGTGTATACGCCAATACATGCGCGAGCGCGAACAAACATCAACCGAAAGCGGGCCAACAGTTTCCCGTATTTTAGATTCAACAGAGCGTCCGCTGGTTGACAGATTCGTGCAAGATGAAGGGGGGGGTCGAGGGGCATGAATCACCCGACAGCGGGTCCGTTAGCGCCGCCGTATTAGCAACACCCATCTTGACTGACGCCCTCCCTGAAGCTGCACCATCTAGAACGCCTACGCTGCACACCCCAGCTCAACGTACGCCGCGTCGTACATTGCGAACCCCAATACGACGTTCTCCTCGTTTACGAACCCCCACTCCACAAGCACATCAGCGCCAATCCGCCCGTCAGAATACCCCCACTCCAATGCGGTCGCAAGCCGATCAAGGAGACGAGCAGGCACCAGACGAGGACGACTTGGACGATATAGGCGACGGCGTCGATGCAGAAGAAACTTTTCCACACTGGGTAGAGTATCTTGAAGAAGTATTTGAGGATGCGGAGCTCGGTAGTAATCTCACTGATTCCTACGAAGACAGCCTTTTCCGCAATTGGGAGTTCGAGGAGATACCCACACCCGATAACACTCCGTTTCCAGACACCGATGACCCCATGTTTCTGCAAGAGAGGAACATCCGAGGTATTCGCGCTCTGAAGTCACCACTCGCTGCTCTCTTTGCACGGTCAAATTCTCATAGCCCACCGAGCTAGCTGAGCGTGTAACTAAATATGATTTCATCACCACCTTTGTTTGCGTATCGACTGCCGAGAATTAAGTCAAATTCGTAATCGACAAGCCTCTGTTATTACCACACGCACTATCATTTGCTTCGCCAACACCGAAGTGGTGGAAATGGCTTCGGGAAGTGGCAGCACCACGTACACTAGCACGAACGCTGAAGAGAGCACGTACGATAATGCGGACGCTGCGGTGGCTTCGGGTAAGACCGGAGCGCGTACATTAACTCGGACGTCGGCGAGAACACTTAAAAGAGTACGTACGATAATGCGGACGGTGCGACAGCATCGGGCAGTGGCAGCGGCACGCACACCAGCACGGACGCTGATGAGAACACGTACGAGGATGCGGACGCTGCGACGGCTTCGGGCAAGATATGATCGCGTACACCAACACCGACGTCGACGAGTCCACGTACGAGAATGCAGACGCTGCGGTGGCTTTGGGCAAGACCGGAGCTCGTACATTAACTCGGACGTCGGCGAGAACACTTAAGAGAGTACGTACGATAATGCGGACGCTGCGACGGCATCGGGCAGTAGCAGCGGCCTGCACACTAATACGGATGTCGAAGAGAACACATACGAGAATGCGAACGCCGCGGCGGCTTCGGGCAAGACTGGAGCACGTACGATAATGCGGCGGCTTTGGGCTGTGGCAGTAGCACGCACACTAGCACGGACGCTGAAGAGAACACGTACGAGAATGCGGACGCTGCGGCGGCTTGGTCAAGACCGGAGCACGTACACCAACTCGGACGTCGACGAGAATACTTAGCTCGAGTCGCTCTGATAGCGGGGCCGATGCACGAAGAGAAAATCTGCATTTCTGATGAAGGCTTTCTTTTGTTGTGGGTTAACATGCTGCAACTAAATAGTAGAAAGCTAACTAAATAGTAAAAATTAAAACCAAGGCCTTTGGGCGAAAAGGCGAAAAGGCGAGGGGTTTGGGCGAAAGGTCCCCGCCTAAACTTTTCAAAAGGCGAAAAGGCGCGCCTTCACCATCACTGCGAGCAGCGGCACGTCGAAGCGCAAGCAAGACCGTTCCAAGGGGTCAACACATGCACGGAGTGCGCGACGCGATGTGCTGCAGGACCAGGACCCCCCCCCTCCCCCACGCACACAAATAGGGAGGGGGCTTAAAACATACCTAGCAGCATCTGCAGGAAGTAAACGTGCCTGGTATGTCGTCGAGACTATTTTTGAGCTTCAGTAGGTTTAGATTAGTTGCGCTGCTTTTTCTGTCTGCTTAGTGATTCCGCATGAGAGTAAACAACACAATGGTCGCCAGAAACAAAAAAAATATGACTGATAGGGTCTAATATATCCCAAAAGAATATGTGAATGTGACAAGCTTTTTGTTTGCACACACTCTATCGGCTCAGTTGGGCTCAGTTGGGGCAACTGAGCCGATCGAGTGTGTGCAAACAGTGTCCAACGGTTCGGTTGAGCGCAGTTGGGCGCTCTCACAACTGTTTTAACCAAATGTTTTTTTTTGTTTTTACTTATTGGTGGTCTAAGTCGTACGAGAACGATGGTGCGAGCTTAATTGACGCAAGCAGATACCTGTGCGCTTAAGATACCCACTAGGGCGAAGCGAAGGCTGGGATAGTTTAAAAAAAACGAAAATGTATTGTTTTCTTGCATTTTGTTTACCCGGAATCATCAACAAGGAGTAGCTCTCGCTTATCAGTCGTCTTCCCCTTCCGCGTTACAATACGCTTCACCGAGCCCAAACGATGCACAGTAGCAATATTTGCTGTTACAGACCCTGTCCTCAACTGCCGCAAGGTTGGCAATTGTAACGGTAGGTATTTGCGGGGCATCCAACAAAGGAGTTTGGGCCAGGTGAATATCCGCATTGGATCCGAAGGATATCTCGACGCAATTCTTCGCCGAAAACGCAGGTTTTATCCGGCCGCCGGAGAAGAAGCAACTGTTTCCAGGAACAATGACGTCACTATAAGTTGTAATTGCCTCGTTGAACAGGGTAACCCGGTAAACGATCTTGGGTGAGTCGGCAACGAGAACTTCAAGCAATGTACCATTTTTTTTGCCAGGTTTTACATTCACGCACGGGACTTCTTGCTATCACACGCGCGATAAACGCCCACGGAGAAGGTGTGCTGGGCTTTAAGTCCTGAAGAGGATAAATGCGCGCAGATTCAACACCAGTCTGCGCGCTGCTGACTGAAGCTCGGGGGGTATTATCGGCAAAATCACA